AACGCTCTCTGTTTCTTCTTGGAGACCTACCTCATTCTCTTTCCTTTCTGGGATTTCGTTCTCTCTTCTTTTCTTCCTTCCCTTTCTCCTTTCTCGACGATGAGCTCCCGACCTTGGAGAGGAGGCTTTTTCACCATTTATGTACTTTTCTGCTTTGGCAAGCACCTCCGCCATACTAGCCTGGGGGTTTTTTGAGATGAAAAATATCAGATCTTTTGACTGAACTCCCAGACCTGCTATGAAGGCTGTAATAGCAAAATTTTCATCTGGGACATCCACCTTCAAGGATTCTTAGTTGAACCATTGGACATAAGACCGTAGGTTCTCATCAGGTCCCTGTTTCACATTTAACAAATGGTAGCTCGGTTTTCTATAGGTCCAAGCTCCGATGAAGTGGGACACAAACGAGATTGACAACTCTTTAAAAGAGGAAATCGAGGCTGGGGGGAGTCTATTGAACCATGCTAAGCTTGAGCCCTTCAGGGTGATAGACAAGGCCCTGCATCTCACTGGATCTTGATATCCATGCAATTTCATTTGGTCTTGTAGGTGTTGAGGTGGTCCACAAGATCTTTTGTCCCATCGAAAGCATCCACCTGTGGCATTCTGAATTTAGGTGGGAGAGGAAAGTGTAGCACCCTAGCAGTGAATGGAGATTCGGTTTGCTGCACCAAGACATCTATAGTGACTAGGGTCTTGCTCTTCACTGCCTCCTTCATCTGGCTGAGCTCTTGCTGGATGTCTTTGAAACGTTGCTCCTAGTGGTGTTCTCTTCTCTTCTGTTAATAAGGGAAGAAGTCGCTCCTCTCCCCTTCCTTATACTGGCTTTGTACTTCCTCGTTGTGACCATTCCTAGGGGGTAAGCGAGGTTCTTGCCCCAAGGTTTGACTATTCTCTCCCACCTCATTAACTTCTCTGAGGGGGTCGAGATGCGGTTGCTCCCTTGGTGGTGGATTATTCTGGCCTCCTTGGGCCGGTCGCGCCTCTTGTGGGCGTTGTAAGAGCTTTAAGAGCTCTTCGTTCTGTTTTATTAGATGTTCATTGACAAGACAAAGGGCCTCCATCTCATTATTCATGGGAAGGTCCCCCATGGGGGGATCTGTTTCTTGAGCATTTTCGGGTTGTCTGTTATTTGCGACTTCCTGTTGATCTTGCATCCGTAGAGGATTAGTCTGACTTCGGCTCATGTTTCGGGTTGATACCATTAGTCACTGAAAAATTAGTTTTATTTGTAACAAGAACAGTCGTTCCCCCAAACAGCGCCAAACTGATGACGTATATCAACATGAATGAGCTTAAGGTGAGAATAATGTGAGATGAGCATGGATCAGATTTACGAGGCTCGTGTATGATGCTACCATAAAATATTCAGGGGATTAAGGGGGTGCACACAGTGAAAATATAGTGGTTCACCGGCTCAGGAACTCGGCTAGTCCACTCTTCAATGGAGGTTCTTGCTCCTTTTATTTTATTTACGATGATTACAAAGTTGCTATGGCTTCCTATTGTCACTAAGGTTCTCTCCCTTGTTAAGAGGTGTTATATTGCATTTATAGTGTCATTCCCTGTTAAGTGGAATTCTGGCCGAGATTCTAGCCCTTACTTTATGGGGTTCTCTCTAATTCTAGGAGAAGATCTTGGCTGGTTGAGATTAGGTGACTTGATTTTAGCTTCCTAACGCTTTAGGAACCTCTCGTGATTATCCAACTGTTGCCTTGGTTGTTATTGCCCTTGCTTATCTCGAAAGAACCTCCAGCTCTATTCTTCCGACTTCTATTTGTCTAATCTAACCTCCTGGGCTGAGCTGACCTCCTGAGCTAGCACTTGAAATTTATTTTGAGGTATCATCAATGTTAATGATGGTTTGATACATACGTTCAATAGGCCAATTTGTTCATCAGTGTGGACAGGCAAAACGTAATCAGATACCAAAGAATTAAGAAATGACTTGAATGAATTATTAACATATTCACGGTTACTATCACATTGAAGACTTTGAATAGAAACACGAAATTGAGTCAAAATAAATTTATGGAACAATTTAAATTGCTCAAAAGCCTTATATTTATGGTACAAAAGCGGGAAAAATCATCCATAAACAGTAAGCAATAACGAAACCCAGTGCAAGAAGGGAGAGGTGATGTCCATAAATCCGAATAAATTAAAACAAAGGCACGCTCATAATGAACATTAGAATCATGAAAAGGTAATTTTACATGTGTTTCCCAATTGACATGCTTGACAGAAATTGAAATCAACCCAACTTCGAGAAGAAGCTAACAAGCGATTATTTAATAAAACAAGATAAAACCCTAGATCTTGGGTGACCCAAGCAGCGATGCCAGAGCTCAAGGGGGACATGGGGAACCGTAAAAGCGGTCTCCAAGTAATGAACTTTCACTATGGAAGAAGCGAAAGGATAGAGAGGACCCGAAATATTGCAACCTGAGAAGTACTGTCTTCGTCCAAAAGTCTTTTATAGAAAATTCAAAAGAGTCAAAATCCAAAAGAGTCCAAAAGTCTTTTACAATAATATAATTATTGTAAGAAATAAATTGCTTGACAAAAAGAAGATTCTTTTAGATTTAAGAAACAACCAAGACATTACAAAGACAGAAAGATGAAGTGGGAGTTTTTAAAAAAGAATGGCCAACGTGAGAAATAGGTAGAAGGTGGCCCATTACCCACTAGAGTGCGATCACGACCGATATAGGGAGAGAAGGAAGACAAGTTACCTGAGAATACTGTCATATGAGAAGAAGCACTGGTATCTAGATACCAATTTGGGTCGAAAACATCTTGCATATGAGCAACGACAAAGGATTGAGAATTGGCATCAACAAGAAAAGCTTTGGAATGTTGTGGGCAATCATGCACAGTGTGGTAAAATTTAAAACAGAGCTGGTATTGAATGGGTGGTGGAGGTTGAGAAAGAGAAAGTTGCCAAGTAGATGAAAAATAGGTTGGGCAAGATCCCAAAATGGACGATCCACGGCCACGAGTGGAATGTAGATTAGAAAACTGATTCTGCCGCGAATAACGAGAATCATGAAATTAATTCTGATACTGGTTGGAATGAATGGATTTGCCATGACCACGCGAAGAGTAGTTGTCATGACGATTGTCATAGCAAGTATCATTGCGAGAGTGCTGTTGATGAGAGCGATCTCGTCCTCTACCACCACGAGAGCCAGAGGACGAGGAACCACCATGATTAGCCACAAAACGACGCAAAGGAGGAAGAGGAATTATTGGTTGTTGTTATTCGTCGAAGACAGATTTCATGAATCAAAGTAAAAGAGCTAGCTATGGCAAATGGAGGAAGGGGAAGCCCAGTGGAGATGGCAGTTATGGCACTTTTCATAGAGAAAGGGAAGGCCGACGAGTGCTTGCATTACTAGGTCTGTGTCAGAAATGGGGTTGCCCACTGATGCAAGTGAATCGATGATGGATATCAATTGTTGGAGATAAACTGTTATGGTGTGATTACCCTTGGGATGGTGGTAGAACTGCATCTTCAATTGCAAGTCGCGAGAATTGACTTGGTCATGGAATAATTGCTCAATGGTGAGCCAAGCCTCACGAGTAGTAGGGGAAAAGTTTGGCTTGATAATGGCATGGAGAATACCCGAAGAAACAGTAGCTTGGATCCATGAGAGATCCAAATAATCAACTTGTAACCATGCTTTGTGTGCTGGATTTGCAAGTGGCGGATCAGATTTATCAGAGAGAAAAGGTGAAGGACATGGAGTAAAACCATCTATATGACCATAAACATCATGACTCTTGAGAACTAGATGAAAGAGTTCACATCAAAGAAGATACTTAGAGAAGTCTAACACAATGAAAATGTAGTTTTTGAAATTGGAGATGCCATGAGCAGGATGTTATGGAGAATAAGAAGAAAATGAAGAGAGTATGGTTCATGTGAAAAGGAAAGCAGTAACAAAAGAGGAGGAAAGACATGACACGTAGTTAAGTACAATAACTACAAATAACATTCTAATAAAGATAAATATAGATATTCCCCCGGTGCCACATGCTTGTTACTGTTAAAACTTAAAACTTTAAAGGAAGAATTATACCAAGATTCTTGATATTTAAAAAATAACATATAAATTATCTAAAGTTTGTACGGGTATAACACTTACACCTTTGTTGTTAAACATCAAATGTAGGATAGTTGTTGATAAATTATACTCAGACCATCTGAAATTTGTAAACGTATAATATTTAGATTTTTCAAGTTTAAAATATTATTTTTAAATAAAAAAAATGTTCAAATAAAAAATAGAATATCAAATATTTAAATTTTTACAACCAAAATCCATGTTTTATTGTATCATTTATTAAAATAAAATCAAAAATAAAAAATTAATTTTTCTTAAAAAATCATAATTAATATATAGTTATACTATCTATTAGAATAAAACTAAAAAAATCAAACAAGGAGTTTAAGTCATTTATAATAGAACATGAATTTTACAACCAAATTGATGTTCTATTATGTCATTTATTGAAATAAAATTAAAAATAAAAATCTATTTTATTCTTAAAAAATCATAATTAGTATATAACTATACTATTTATTGAAATAAAACTAAAAAATAAGCAAGAGTTAAACTGTAATGGACAAAATATATTCTAACTTTAATTAGGGTACTTTGGTCATTTAACCGATCAAATTAAATTTCAATAAATATTATAATTGTATATTAATTATAATTTTTTAAGAAAAAAATAGATTTTTATTTTTAATTTTTTTTAATAAATGATACAATAGAACATGAATTTTATTTGTAAAATTTAAAATATTTAATATTTTATTTTTTTTAGTATATTTTTGGTCTAAATATAATATTTTAGGATTTGAATATAATTTATTAATAGATATATATGGTGCCAATATAATTCTTTCAAACTTAAAAGTTTGACTTGACTAAACTCGGTTGTTGGTGTTAGCAGCCGGATGCTGTTTTCCCACTTCGTTGTCGTTGACGAGTTTCAAGTGCCAGTGACGTCGACGACAAAAACAATGCCTAATTGTTCTTTCTCTTGGAAGTTTAATGCATTATTCCTGCAATTGCCTTTTACTAAGTAGGGTAGAATTTTACGTTCGCCGGGGACCGGGGTAGAGGTTGGACTTTTACTTCCTCTTCTCTGACCAAGTCCAAGACAAAAACCCCGATCTCTTGCTTTGCTCTTAATGTTCCCCCTCTTACTTGGAATTGTGAAGCAGATCGATTTCTTTCCATTGGAAACTTAGAACAACATGGGAGGGGTTTGTTCCCGGAGTTCGAATGCTCCTAAAGAGTCCTTGTATGCAAAAGGTCGTAACGATTTTTACGGTTCTGTTGCTGGTGAATACAAGCAGCATGAGTTTCAAGTAGATGCGCATATTAAATTGGCACAGCCTCAAGAACGCAAAAGCTTGGACAGGCAATCGCTAGAAGAATCAAAGCAAATACAAGAGCCTATTCGATTTGGTGAGACGGGGTTGACTGGGTATGGGAGCAGTGACGATGACTTTTATGATGGGATTCCACGCTTTCGGAAGACACTTTCCCAGAAATCTAGATCATTTAGGTCAAAGCAGACAGCAAAGGTAGGTGGATTCTGCAAATCAGTACGCTTTCATTTATGAGTTCGGTTCTTGTCACAGTTCTACATTTTGTCAATTACTCGAGTTCAATCATCACACATTGAACTCATTCCATTGAATGCCTTGGGTTCTACATGGGGATTTTGGAAGTTCCATGGACACCTCATGGGCATAGCGAAGTTCAAGTGTCGATGATACCTGAACTTGTCGGTATTGGATAATATTTGAATTTTAAGTGGTACAAATTCTTCATTTAAACACCCCCCCCCCCCCCCCCCCACACACACACACACAAGCACCTTTCTTGCTTAACTTGAGTGAACAAAACATTGTGAGCAATGGGCAAATCAATGACATCAATTGTTTCCATTTGAGGCTATGGGTCGGATGTTAGGCCCTCTCCTATAGTGAGTCAAACTTTTAGCCAAAATTTGAGTAAAAAATTTGATTTGATATGAAACAAGTACTAGCTACTCAAATCATTTTAAGATTCTCATAATCTTCAAGAGTCCATTTCGTCCATTCTTTCCTCCAAAAATTTTCTCTTCTCTTCTCTTTCCTTTAATTTTGTCTTTTCAGCACTTCGTTCCCTGTCTATTTTCCATTCTCTCCCATATTTCTGTCCCTCTCAATTTTTAAGCGTGGTGTCTTCAAGTAGCATATGCGATCACCAAATGAAAGAAGCCTCTTCAGATTATGGCTCTTTGCAAATAAAAAAATATACGATGTCAAATAAAATAAGAAACCTAACTCTTTGATTTTTTAAATTTGAAAAACAAAATTGAATCCAATTTTAGCAAATGATGCTGATAGTATGATTTGAGTTTCAACAGAGTTTGTTTGTGAACATACTAGTGAGCACATATATAGATTGGAAAACAAGGGCGCTGGCGAGAGAGGCAGAGAGGAAGGAGAGGTTAATGGCAAGTATCTATGTATTAGGGAGAACAAAAAAGCATAAGAATTTGCAGAGGAGCACAGAGTTCCAAGACAGTGACAACGATAATGTGAAGGCTGCAATATTACGGTTGAGGTTTTGGATAAAGATTTAATGCTCCCTTGATGTGAATGAGGTTTTGATTCTCTGTTCATTTGGTACGAGTCTAAGTAAAGGGTTGAACCTTAGTTTTGGCATTTTGTACTCAAATATAAGTTTGAGTCAAGGTAGAGTGGAGACTTTAGATGCCCTTAGAGGAGTTATTTTGTGAAAATATTGCAAAGTTTGGCTTTGTACCCTCCTAGCACCTTTGATAAACTGATAAAGACTAGTTGATACTGAATTGCGGCGCCAATACATGCGTTATTAATCCCATATACATGCTAAGAGCGAAGCAGTGCACAAATAAGCTTATTTAAGTGTTTAATGGTATCTTGAAGCTCCACTTTTAATCCATATTGCTTTTGTAAATGTGTTGCCTATCAGGCTAAAACAACTTGAAACTTCAGTCTGAATAGCGTTAATTATCACACGATAGAGCAGTCCGCCTTATTGAGTGAAAAACACACTTTTCGCATTATGCCTAGTCATTGGAACAAGTTAACTCCCTGAGGGCGGAACTTTGATGTTCCATCCTAATTGTAGGAATGGGGGATCACGAAGCGACATTACTCCAAGGAGCTAGGAGGGCCTGTAAGCCAAACTGTTTTTTCTTTGGGACAAATTTAGCTCCCCAGAAGAAAGAAGCAAATAGGCTGGTGGCTTTCTTTTGGGAAAAGAGACCTTGTCATCCAGAACATGCTCGAGTCGGGCTGGACCCCTCCCTTTATTTTATTAAACAAGCGATACAAGCCGTTTCTATCTTACTCGTAATCACACTGGCTGCAATCGTGCTATGGTGCACAATAGAAAGCTGATTATTTGAGGCATTTTGAAGGACAAAGCTTGTGATTTTTATTCTTCACTGAAACTTAATCATCAAGCATGAGGAAAGCAGTAGTTTGGGGCCTCTATTGTTTTTGGGACCTTATTGTATCTTAAAATAACACTTGAATTATTGAGAAACATAGTTAAATGAAGATATTACGAGGGAACAAGATGGAGAGCTTGCAAATTGCATTGGGAGACAATCATTGGTGGTTCTGATCTGCTTACCCGGTATAAAGTTTGGTAACTTACCCCTGAGGAAGAAAAGGGTTTATGAACAGTTGGAAAGAACTCAAAAGATTGGGGTGTGTAATTCTATATGTATCTTGATTACATTAAGAAGGGAGACAATAAAAAAATTTAATGTGCTGGGCCTCCAAATGGACTTCAAGATCCAATTGGAAACAATTTCTAGGAGCAGATTGTGGAGATAACCGAAATTTCCTTGTAACAGCTGGTATACTGGTACTGTTTTGAACAAATGCTCACAACTGTGTATCTCCTTCATTCTAGCCATCTGTTCCATCATATTAACATTAGAAATGAACTCTTTGATCAAAACCAAATGAGGCCATTCTGAGAAGCTATCCGGTGTTTTGGCCTTAATATCATGGGTAGTTGTTCTCCAGTATTGGTAACTCAAATCAGTGTCCTCTTGCAGTCCTGTGTTTGTCGAAATGCTCCTGTTCTTTTATCAGATCAATTTCGTTGTTTCTTCATTTGTTAACATCTCATTGAGATTAATTGCTTTTAAGTCGAATATTTCTATCCAATGGTTGTCTGCTTTAAGATTTTTTTTGTGTTAGATACTTATGCATGACATTCCTCGAGGATTCCACATCAGTGGAAACTACTGTAGTCTTGTATGTGAGTAGATTCGTTCAGTCTTTTGCTTGAACATAAGAAATAACAGTAAGAATAAAAACATAGAGAATACAAATATATTTGCTTTGAGGACTTCAAGATCCATGTATTGAGGGGAGACTTGACATTCCTCGAGGATTCCACATCAGTGGAAACTACTTTAGTCTTGTATATGAGTAGATTCGTTCAGTCTTTTGCTTGAACATAAGAAATATCAGTAAGAATAAAAACATAGAGAATACAAATATATTTGCTTTGAGGACGTCAAGATCCATGTATTGAGGGGAGACTTGCTCGCACTTTTATTTTTATTTTTATTGTTGTTACAAACATTGCATTTTGTATATTTATGGATGACTTACTAAGTGGATGAAATAGGTCAAATTCGAACTAATTAGTGGGTGTCATAATTGCCAATTACTAGTGAATAAATTATTGATTAGTTTTATATTATGAAAGGATGCCGGTAAAGGGAGAACTTGATAAATTGAGTGATGTACAAGAATAAATTTTTTGAAAGAAGATTTGAAGATCAAGTTGTCTAAGTCCTTGAAGAACTAATTTTTCTATCTCTTATTTTCTAATACTTAATTGTGTGTTTATGTTACTATATTTTCTAAATTGTCTTGATTTTACAATTCGTTATCTACACAAAACTCTAATTGTGGAAAGGTTCAGTTTGAAAATTCTAATTGATTTTGAAGTTAAAGAACAGTAAGTATTTGATATTGCATATTGTTCTTGAAGATTTTTCTTTACAATATCATCTCTGTTCTTTAATATGTAAGCTTATTGAAAAAGAATTCCTTAGAAATAGATTAGATTTTATAATTCATGAAAAATTCTTCAGATCTAAAGTTTGATGAATTTCAATTTTATATATTAGATGACTAATAATTACTCGTGGCTGAAGGCATGGGATAACCAAAAAATTAAATTAATCTGTGCCTAAAGGCATTTTGCTTACTAAAAAACTTGTCAATTTGAAATAAATTTTCCTTCATTTGCTTTAATTAAAGAAATTGAAATCAATCAAGCCTCCGCTATTTTTTCAAAAAAAAAAAAAAAAGTTGACAGAATTTCCTCTAAAGATAAGAACCTAAGGGAATCTCAACTAATCTTCAGAGTTTATATATCTCATTGTATGTTATCATTGTCGAAAACAAACTATTCCATAACCAATCTCTGAAAAAAGTACCCAACATAAGTCAAAGATAACACCATATTTTAATCACTACATAATTTAAACCAAAATAACATTTATATATCATACCAATTAGCATAATTCAAACAAAACATATAACCATCACAATCATACATAACAATTATAACAATTCAACTCTATTTCTCCAAATCCAACCATCAATTCTCATCAAACAACATTTCCTCTTATGTGATTAGTTCAACTAAATAAACACGGAACAAACAACACACACACAAACTAGACACACACAAAACACACGTGTACAAAGAGAAATAATTCTCCTAACTTCATCTTCTTTAGCAAAGAGTGACAACCAAAAAACACATCAATAAGATTGCTAACAACAACCACTACACTATTGTCTGATTGGGATCAACACCTTCTGGATGTGAAGTCACAGAAAAATAATCCCAAGTATGCTTACATGTATACCCGAACATGTAAAACCAAACTGAAAATCTGAAACTTAAGGGGTTGTTTGATAACGTTTTTGTTTTCGCGTCTTCAAAAAATTAAAGACAGATAATTTTTTGTCTTTGTTTTGTGATAAATACTAAAACAGAAAATATGTTTGAGATTCATTTTTGTCTATCAATTATGAGAATAAAAACAAAAAATATGTTTGGTAACTATAAATTTTATCCTAAATATGTTTGGTATCTTTTTGAAAATTCAATCTCAAATAGCAATTCAACAATCCCAAATAATAATCCCAAATAGAACACAACACACACACAACACAACACACACACGCACAGATCGTACATATATATACACAGATTGTGCATATATATATGCACAGATCTTCTGTGAAATAATGCATCGTGCATATATATGTTCAGTGGCAGCGATGGAGGCGGAGGTAGCGATTGAGGTGGGTAACAGGCCAGTGATTCAGAGAGAGGATAGAGGATACAGAGAAAGGAGAGAGGTGAAATGAGAGATGAGGAAGAGAGGAGAGAGCTGGTGGTCTAAATCGTCTGATACAGAGAAAGGAGAGAAAAGGGAGAGAGGAGAGAAAAGGGAGAGAGGAGAGAGATAGAGAAAGAAGCGATAGGAGGAGAGAGGGCTGAAATGGGTTTTTATACTCCAACAAAAAAAACATTGTTTTGCTGTTAAGAGAAGTTGAAGTCCGGATCTCATTAATTCCTCACCCCTGTTGCGCGTGTTGTTCCCGTTTTTTGTGCTTTTTGAAACATCATTTTTTTGTCTTTGTCTCCAATACAATGAAAACAAAACAAAACCAAAAATAGTTACTAAATA